AGTTTTTCAAAAAAGTTTTTAAACGAATATATCTTTTTAAGTTAAAAAATAGTAGTTCAGACCCGTGGCTTTCTAACCATGTAAATTTTATCCTTTTTTGTTAAGTATTACCAAAAGTTGGTATTGCAATGAAAATCGTATTACAGAATTTTTTTTTTTTGGACATTTTACTATAATAAAAATTAATTATAGCGATTTCTCTACTGTTAATGATCAGGGTATGACACCTAGGGATAATTGCGCTGAAGTTATGTATACTTTTTATGGTGTTGACGAAGAAGGACGTTTTCTTGATTATGCTTTTTGCAAGATCAACAAACGAGAAATATCAATACCTAGTAACATTCCATTTGGAACTGAAGTTATTATTAAAGAACATAAACAATCCGTTGAAAACGATCCAAATAATCAGAAGAAAAAGCTCGACTTTATTAAAGTTGAGAAGGTTGGTAGGACAACATTCCATACACATGGGTATGTGTTAGATAAATGGAAATATTTTAGGCCTAAGAGTTTATCTAGAGAAGCCTCTGCTCTATTCGTCTATGAAAACAGGGGAAATTTTGGTAAGTCCTGATTTTGTTAATAATGTCTGAGGACTAGTTATTAATGGCATATTATATCATCAACAGGTACTTATGGAGATTCGGGTTCACCTGTTTTTGATAACATTGATAGACTGTAGAGTATTTTTTAGGGAGTTTATCCAAATAGCAGTCAAGCTTTTGTTATTCCCATTCATGTAATTTTAGATCATGCCAAAGCTAGAACGGGAAAGAGGTTTATACTAGTGTAATTTACAGTCTTTACTTTATATAACAACGAACAGTTTGTTCTGAGATTGTCCTTATAACGAAAAAATAATAAATGTTTATTATACCTTTCAAAGAGTAATGTTACGTGGCAATGTTTTATTTTTCTGACTATTATTATATATAATGAAAAGCAAAATTATGTTATCGGTAAAACTAGCTAATGCTACTGGATAACATAAATCAAAATATGAGCGTGACCCATTCTTTCCCCAATATTTTGTTAGTATATGTTTAAAAAGTTCTCAAACAAAAAAACAGTTACCTTCTTGGATTACGGATAGATTTTATGATTAACAATACTTGTAATGAAATACAAAGAACTTTAATATTTCTGCCTATTATATCTCTGGTTAGTAGTTTTGCATATAATATCCTGTTTATTGCTGTACAGATAGCTAGAATATAATAAGTGTTTTCTATTACATTATTACTTGGTATAGCCTTAATATCGCAAAAAAATGAACTTGGTAATGTTGTTATTATGTTAATCTAAAAATACTCATTTTATATGTTCAAACTATTACATTTTCTTTTGAAAGTAATGCTTACCACAGCATTGCGTCAAAAATTAAATACTTAATGCACACACTTAACCTATTTAGGTTAGCACTTAGCTATTTTCATGCCAACAATGTTAATAAATATTTTGCTAATCCAGATCTCTCCAGCAATACCGTTGATGAATATAAATGGTGGTTTACTTCGCTTTTCAATTCCTCAGACCATAATGGATAACAACAGTCTACTTGATGTCTATATTCCCTATAAAAAATATTTTTTGCTAAAATATACTTAAAATAAACTTAAAATTTTATTTTATACTTAAAATATATTTAAAATTTTATTTTATACTTAAAATATACTGAAATAGGCAAAAATTAAATATTATTTAAGTATAATTTAAGTATATAATAATATACTTAAAATATTCTTATTTTAAATATCCTTAAAATATACTGAAATAGGCAAAATTTAAATGTAAATTAAATATATTTTAAGTATATATTAAATACAATTTAATTCAAATTTTGCAAAAATTCAATTTTCAGTATATTTTAAGTATAAAATAAGAAAATTAAGTATATTTTAAAGAAAATTAAATATATTTTAAATATATTTTAAGTAAAAATTTTTTTTATAGGGATTACTAACCACTTGGAACATGATAATGAAAATCATCCCGTAGGTCAAGCAAACGAAGCAAATGAAGCAAATGAAACAAATGAAACAAACAGAGAAAGAATATTTGAAGGTACAAACAACATAAGATGTGACGTTAACAATCAAAATAATCTATATTTTATTATTTTTTATACTACAGAAAATGCTTTCTGTGATTTATGGCATCCCGATACCATAAAATTTTACGAATTCTATCTCGCTTACTCACACAGATCAAAAAGTAAAAATCAGGCATCAATCAGGTACCAATCGGTCACCAATCAGATACCTGATTGGTGACCGATTGGTGCCTGATTGGCATTTTCGCCAAATACCGTCACCAATCAGGCACCAATCAGCTACCTGATTGGTGACCGATTGGTGCCTGATTTTTCACTTTTCGACCTGTATCAAACTCTAGCCGTTCACAACGATTCATTGGATATGTCAAGAAAAATAAGATCAACATTTTAAGACTTATCACTCTTAACTTAATCACACTATTAATCTCAATATATAACAATAATTGGATAATACCCTTGGTAAATTTTATAGGACATATATTTTTCATAATATACAAAACAAAAGCGGAGTTGATATATGTATTTGACTAAGATCAATATCCTCCAGAAATTAAAGAACATCTCTTGTGATTCATTCTAAAACACATGAATATGATTAAACAATAAAATTTCATTAAACTGCAGAGAGAATACAAGATACAAGCGGACAACATGAATGATGGTGTGAAACTGCAGAACAGAATACAAGTGGACAATATGAATAACTGATGTCAACTACGAGAAATGATCACAACACTTATCATACCCGTTATCTTGTTTTTACACGTTCCTTCATAGTTACGAATTCATGGATCATTTCGTTTCTTCTCAGTTACAACCATATATCTGTTCACAAATCCACTCCGATGGGTCAATTATCAATAACAATCACTTATTCGCTCAGTGCATACCATTTATCTTCTATATTGTTGTTAATTATCCAGATTGATTCTGTCGAAAAAATAATGTAAAATACAAGAAACCTATTCTTTATTATTATTTTTTCGCAACTGACAAAATATTTATTCTATATGGGTTATGCGTAGTTTCGATAAATATAATGAATTAATGGAACTGGATTTGGGGATGCTCCACATTTTGTTTTCGATTACTATCTTACTATCCTTATCTATTTACCATCCGTCTGGACAATTTCTTTCGAGAATCTATTTGTTGTTTAAGAGCAATGTCGAATTGACCTCTACTGATGTGTAGAACAATACAAATGTGTTATAATCAATAACCCTGTTATGGCCTAATGTTTAAGAACATAGCCACGTTTAAAACATTATTATTATGGACGGACATTTTCTCTCATAAATTTTAGAGGAGCACACTTACGTGTTGTTAACAACATGGTATGATAAAGGTGATTATGTGATTCTGGACTGAAGACAAAAACAAAAATAGATGATAATCGAAACATTAACATCCGTATGAGAGAAATGAGAGAAATGAAACAAGCGTTGGTCATGCAACATGCAAACAAGATTTCGATAAAGGAATTCGATCACGTATGTATTTTTGATGGGATGATTCCTCAAAACTAGTAATAGAACAGGGGTATTGACAAAAATCATGCGGAATGATTTTATTTCCTGGTGATTATTGTTTTCAATAATCGAAACGCCAGATAAGTAATGATGGATACAATTATTGATAGTAAGCACTTAACTACAAATATCAATGGCAATAAGAAAATTACCTAAAGGTGCTATTCTGGAGGGACTTTAAAGAGAAGTGTAACTAGTGTGAATGCAGTAATCATTTTTTTAGTAATCGAAAACAAGAACAATGTCCGATATCTAACTATCCTATACCATAGTATATCTTCTTGATAGTTTCATATTATCCCAAGTTAATTAGTCTTCAATTGACTACAAAAGTGGGAATAGTTTACTCCTAAGTCAAATTTCAATTACCTGTGAATTATTAGGTATTTCGGAATGTTATATTTTTGTTGATAACCCCTTTCGAAAAGTGACTCATGTAAACCAGTATACACGCAGTTTAATACAAATTCTTAGTTCCTACATTAACACATATTACCCTTTCCATGTTTATTCTACTTCGTACCCTTTGGGTAGAAATTACTTATTGGAGTAATAATATTCCACCGTTTATTGTGAATAGAGTCGATCTTCAACTAAAACATTTGATAAACTTAGGGGTGCGTTATGTTGTCGATGATCTGTGATATGAAGGATCGTTTCTCCGAAACTAGAAATCAGAAATCAGAAATGCCGTTAGATCAACAATATATTAGCCGAGTTATAGGATAATTACAGTTAGATCATTTGCGTGCTAATATATTCTGGTTATCTGTATACAATAGGATTATTGCTTATATGTAGACAGCCATTTTACGATATTATTATAATTCAGATTTGTAAAACAGATCCCTGATAGTCTTGCCATTCATTGCCTTTTCTTTTGGAGATTCCTAAAGTCGGTATGGTTCATGAGAAAATCTGGATTTCGATAAGGAAGTTTTATGTTTTATACTGTTAGTAAGGTGCAGTTGGAGACTGGTCTACGCTCAAATTATTACTATTTTTGTTTCGATATTCAAGGAAATCTCTTACAAGCTGAGTTTGCAGTTCACTAGCCAAACATCAGATTATAGAATCGTTATTGACCATATCATAGTCTGCAAAATCATCGAGTTTGTATAAATACTTTAAAGATAGGTAAAATACTTTATTATGTACCACTATGAAACTTAAAAAATTTTTCAACATTAGTTTCCTTTCACGACACAATAATAAAACAAAAACAGATTATCAAACTAACTCTCTAAACGCTAATTTAAATGAAATAACAGTTGAACCAGATACTGTAGATGGGCTGGAACGCTCAGACGAGAATCCACAGCAAGTAAATAGTCATGGTAAAACCTTATAATGTTATGTATTAAATTCTTGTTTAATAATTACGTTAAATTGTTTACATTATTACAATAATGACAGACTATAGTCTAGCTATAATCTTACAAAAATTGAGTTCTCTCAAGAATACCATTCAAGAAATTAAAGGAGAAGTAAAAGATGTCAAAGGCAAAGTAGAAAAGCTCGATGAGAAAGTAGAGAAACTGCGAACAGAAAATGGTCATATATTTGAAATGATAGCTAGAAATGAGATTGCTAAAAAACATGGACAACATTATTCGGAATGTTTCGTAGTCTTTGATATAAATGGCCTTGTTAGGTTATCCACACCAAAAGAAAAACTTTCGTCTGAAGAGTTGGAATATGAAAACCAGGCTTCTATTTTGGAACATAGAACGAATAAAATAGCAAACCACATTTTTGTAAGTGATGACTCGTAATATTTGTTTCTCCTGAAATAATTACGCACTTTTGGAGTTTAGCTTTTTATTAATGTATTTATTTTTGTGATAGGAAATCAAGTTAATTGACAAGTTCGAGAAAAATCTCAAAAGGGCCAGGGATGTGTATCCAAATTCAAATTTGAATGATCTTTATTTTCGTGTGAATAAACTCAACTGTTAAAAGAAGTTAAGGAAAGAAAAGGTAGAGTAATGGATGTTATCATTTATAAGTAAGATAGTACATCGACAGAGAAACTTACATATTTGTCAATGGTTAGGAAGTAAGGAACGACGCTAGTGATACCTGGCTAAACTCTTTTTGCCAAAAATTTCAGTTTCGTCACCAACTAGTTTCAGTTTCGTCATTGACTAAACTATATAATAATAATTTTTAAATTTAAATTTAATTAAAAAAAAATATAGTTTTATTATAAAAATATATTAAATTATATTATACATAAAATAGTTTTATAAATTCCTTTAAAAAATATTATATTTTAATATAAATTTATTATTTTTTTTTTTATAAGTAATTATTATAATTAAAAATCCATGGAAATCCATAAAAAATCCATGGAAATACTATGGAATATTGAATTTTGGCATTTCGTCTTTTAATTTTAAATGTCTAAACTATTTCGGTTTAGTCAAATGACTAAATATTTAGGTTTTGCCCAGGATCTCTAAACAACGCTCTTTTTTAATCCATGAACCCAGGTTCACCATCATGCTTTTTTCTTCTATGGTAATGAGTTTACAAAGCGCCATAAAATACAAACAAGCACCATTTGTAGAAAAATTGGAGATAGACGTGCGAGGACTGCTAACACCTTTGACGACAAATGGTGATATTGAAACGTTGAGATTGGAGAAATAAAAAAGTCTGATAGTACAGAAATGGTAACTAAAGGATATCGTCAGTTATGGTTACGTTTAGCAGTCATTGGTTATGCTCTAAGTATCATTGATCCAAAACTAAAGTTTAATTTGATAGGTAATCTATATACACCCAAAACAGATAAGACCTTTAATTCGCAATATGATGATGGGTTTGACTTTGTGAAGAAAAAAAAGGGTTACAACTATTATGTAAATCATATCTCTATATAGTATTTACTGTTTGTTGCTGATGTAACTGTTATTTTAAGTAATAAAAATTTTTGATTTCGTAAAATGATTAATAGGTATCCCTAAAGCTATTATACATGGCGATAATGCATTTTGATCGAATGATACCCTGTGAACTGATATTTTTTCGCATAAAGCCAGACTTAATACGGCAACAATTTTTTGTACTCAAATGATATTCCATAAAATAAAATACGTAAATAGTTATGCTCATCACTAGATATTAATTCGAAAGGGAGAATTATTACTCTCAAGAGCACATGAGCCTTTGGCTGGGCAACACCCACATAGGACCCTTGGGTATCGATGTTACGTTTGATACCTGTTGTCCACTAATAATCTGTCCCACAATCAATATCAGTAACTAAGCGTGTGTCACCAAAAACCACTCTCAATTACTTTGTAATACTATATTATCAATAAGTATTCGTTATCTTATTTTATACGTTCTTCAACGTTAATCATAGCTTTTTGTTTTATCCACAGTATAACTGTCCTCTCTGATAGATGGTTTTATCGATAACAATCATTTGTATGCTCAGTATACTACTCATCTTCACCATGCTATTCTTAATCATTCAGAATGGATTCTTTGATTATGGATGTATGCTTAGGTACATATATTGTTGTCTCATTTGCCATCAATATCGGGATAAAAATATCTAATGAGAAATTTTTCATCTACGTGTTTTTCAGATAACACAAAAACCCCATGTTTGCGAACAATCATATTCTCCCCATATTTTGGTGATAAGTATAGTCTCCCCATGTTTTTTAGATAAATACACCCTTGTATAGTTATGACTTTTTGTGTATTAAAAGTTACGAGCTGAGACTGTGAACTCAGTTTACAAACAAATTGTATTACTGTACTTGTTAATCAGAGAACATTTTCACGTGATAATTGTAGAGGCTATGTCGGGTTTCATGTTTTCCCTTAAATATGACCTACAAATCTCTATCCGTTATTTATCCACAAACGTAGATGTACATGATTGACTGTACGTGAGTAGAATAAGTTTGTTAGTGTAGATAATTTTTTTGATCCCAGAGTATCATTAACTATCTTGCTGATGTGATGAAACAATGAATAATCGAGACTTGATGGAACTGTAAGAGTTTTGCTTTTGACGACAATTGAACCAAATATTAACGACATTTTTCTCTTTATTCTCATATGTCTCCAACACAGGTAAAGCCACTCTGCCATATGATGTTTTAACGATTGTGTGCTTACAGAAATATATGGATTAGCTGAGATTCTATGTATATGTGTCCCTCCAGAACTAAGTAACAATGAACGAAGTACAACAGGTACTGATATACTCGATACAAAAGAATTGATGATGTTGCCAATAATGGGTCCTTCAAAGGTTAGGCTGCATTTATCTTCATCATGATGGCATACTTATATCCCCATATCGTAAACAAATATTTTATTATTTCCTTGAATAGCTAGTACCATACCACACGATGTGCCTGTTCCTTGCGTTCCACTCGTCATGGACATCATCCCCATTATCTGTCTATTTTTATCCATCGACTCTGTGTGCGAAGACAAGTTTTTTCCTCCTTTCACTTCATGGGCATAGCACGGGACTAGACTCTGCCTAGAGTTCGTGATCCCAGGATCATCATGGTTAACGTGAGAAGAAAGAGTGGAGTTGTAGTCAGGCGGTAACTGATAAGTTCTGGACTTTGCCCACGAAGTGAACCAGATGGATCTTTATGTGCAAACATTGTTTGTGGAAAGTGCTCTGCATTACAGTGTACTAATTCCTTTAGGTGAGATTCTTGCAGGTAACCACGAGACTCCACAGCACATCTCATAGGACTGTGAGTTGATGAATGTGGACAGCAGTAAGAGATATTACTGGTTATTGCATAGTCTGTGAAGGATGAAATAACAGAAATACTAGCATGCTCGTTACCATCACACTTTGGGTTATTGGCAAATTCTGGGCGTTGTTCACGAGGTGAATGCGTTGATTGTGGCACTTTTTTGTTCTCCCTCCCTTTCTACCATGACTCGCTTGGAGACAATGAACATGAATTATTAGTATCCCCATTGAAATGGTCAGTTGTATTAGGTTTCGATTCTCCTTTAGTGTCAGAAGAATGTTTATTAATACTTGCTATAAAAGAAGCGATACATTCCGAATAGTCAGGGTGAGCTAGCATTTCTCGCAGAGCATCATTCATGACAACAGGTAAAAACGCAGACTCTTGATTGATATGAATTTGTTTATTTTGGAATTTCTTTTCGACTCTGTCAATACATGCTCTGAAATATTTTTCAAACAAACCATCATGATAACCCTCTTTGGGAATGACAAGAAAGTCTTCAGGATTAAGGTTCTCGGCACCGTATTTCTCTACGAGTTCGGCGTTAAACCTTTTCACAGATGAATCTATATTAGCACGATTCCTGGCACGGTACTCAGCGTCTGTCCTTGCAAGATATTGGTCGATCATCTCCTGTTTTTCGGCAGTAGGAGTGTAAAAATCAAACTCGGCCATTTCTTTTTTATATAGAGGCTTATGTTCAAAACAATAATTTTTATTTTCATGTGCACCAGCATTCAAGGATTGTTTTTCGTCTGTTACAGAATAAAAGTATTCGACCATATCTTTTTTATATGATAACCCTTGTTCAAATCGATAGATATGCATCAGCGCTACATTTCTGAGTGCTACGTACCTTTCAAAGAGGCGAAAGTAATACAAGAATATAAGCGGAGGTTTTTACTCGGATGATACGAAGTAGATGACATAGACCGTATATTAGATATGATATTCACTGTACCATGAACGTAATATTGTGTGCTTTGCTTGGCCATGTGGTACAACTTTGTTACTAACGACACATATTCTGTTACGAAATACATTCATGAACAAAGATAAAATCGAACTTCATTATTAACAAATATATGCATTGCAACAAAAGATACATTCATCATTACGAAAAAATATATACAACATTTATTACAAAAATATATATACAGACCTGTAACAATATACACAAGACTGTTAAAAAAAATATATACGGACATGGTTACCAGTAGCCATGCAACAACATATACTTCAAACTCGTAATATATTCAGTACATTAACATTATAATATTAGACATCCAATGGGTGATGTAGCAAAATGCATACAGCATCGTTGTAAATGGACAAATATTAAGCGAGAGCAAATAATATACCAAATGGACAAATATGAACGTCAAGTACTAAATACGAACGAACTAATCTCGAATCAGCGTGAATGGATAAATAATTAGCCGAAAAGGATAAACATTTAGGAAGAGTAATGATTTACATGATGTAATATTTATCAAATGATTAAAAAAAAAAAAAAAAAAAAAATAAAAAAAAAAAAAAAAAAAAAAAAAAAAAAATTAAAAAAAAAAAAAAAAAGAAAAAAAAAAAAAAAAAAAAAAAAAAAAAAAAAAAAAAAAAAAAAAAAAAAAAAAAAAAAAAAAAAAAAAAAAAAAAAAAAAAAAAAAAAAAAAAAAAAAAAAAAAAAAAAAAATAAAAAAAAAAAAAAAAAAAAAAAAAAAAAAAAAAAAAAAAAAAAATAAAAAAAAAAAAAAAAAAAAGATAGCATATTAAAAGATAGCGTATTTAAAATATAGATAGAATATTAGAAAGATAGTTCAAAGATAATATGTAAAAAGAACATAAAAGATAATATATAGATAGAATAGAAAGTAGCATAAAATTTGTATAAATAGAGAAAAGAATTCAAAGAAATTCCACAGTTCTCATCCACAGAACTCAATAAAAATATAAGTTTCATTTAATTATTTGTTAGTAAAGTTTAATATTAATTAAAGGTAATAAATTCGCCCTAAACTTTAATTAATGTTCGCTTAATTAATTTTAATTGAATAAAATGGAAATTTAAGATGAATTAAATATACACCTTTGAAAAGTAATAATTCGTAGCGAGAGCTATCGAAGTTTGAGATTAAAGGTAAAAGTGGATATAATTTGGGAAAAATTTAGAGAAGTTAAATTTTATTTTATATCGCTTGATGTTTTATATTACTAACGCTATTTATGTTGTGAACCAAGAAGGTTGTTATATGTTGTTGTATGTTGTTCGTTGATTATATTGTTTGTTAATTATGCCGTTGATTATTTGCTTGTTCGTTTAATTATTCGTTTGTTTGATTATTCGTTCGTTCAACCATGAGAATGCCCATTCGATGTGGCAACTCTGTAAATTGATGACAGAGGGAATTGGGGGATCTCATCGTTCAAAAAATAATATACGTCACTATTATCAATAGTATCTACAGCATATGCATTCATCATTACAAAAACGTATCAAACTTGTAATAAATATATACATTCATCATCGTTACCGTTACCAAACAAAAAATATATACGAACTCGTAACAAATATACACTATCGTTACCAACAGACTGCAATAATACGATATATACTTCATTGTTACAAAAATATATCCAGACCAAATATACCCAGCTGTTTCAAAAAATATATACGAACTCGTAACTATCGTTACATTTCTAAAAGAAATGCCTTCCAGGCTAACAGATCACAACAATACACAGTATACGGAAAGTCATCATTACAAAAAAAAATACATACGAACTAGTAACAGGCAATGCCTTCCATGATTTTCCTTGTAAGTCGCTAAAGCGTGAGGAACGAAGAAGCCTTTGGCCTATTCCATGAAAATAAAAAGTCGAAGAGGTAAGCGTAATGAAGAAATTTATACAGGGGGCATCGTCCGAATATATACCGTAGTTATCAGAAGATTACAGCCACAAACAGAACATTATCGTTACCAACAGATTTCAACGATATATTTCATCATTACAAAAATGCGTAGCCCACTGTTACTAACAAATTACAACAAATGTGTTCTGCATCGTTACAAAAAACAAATTTTGCACTGTTGGACAAATATATATACTGCTATTGTTTTCCAAGAAAACGGGTTTTAAGGATATGTTCTCGGGAATGTTTGGAAACATAACAACAGTACATAGTTACAGTGGTCCTAGGAGAAAACTAGTCCATAAATAGACTTTGTGAAGGTAGGGGTTGTGTAATGAAATGAAAATCTGAAAGGATTCGCTACACAAATCTAGCACTAATATCATTTCATACAAACCTATATAGAAAAGATGAGTCAGTTCTAAGGCGTAGTATACTTGAGTAGTTACATCATTGGTCACGAAGCATCTAATGTGATAATTTTCCCAGAGAGTAGGGCAAAAGCCCCTTGGCTGAGCAAAGCCCATGATCAGTGTAGAGTATCATGTATTTTTACAGTAGGTAACAGTTGTCCACTAATATTCAACTCGCAGTAGTAACTCATAAAACACACACAGATCACATTCATCACAGCGGACAATATGTAGTTAAAATAGTTTGTCAGATAACAATGAGCATATTTTTTACATATTAGAAGTCCCATGGGAGTTTAGAAATCATGTGGTAATATTGTTTTTATTTCTTTGTTCGGAAAAAATGGTAACGAAGTTCAGTACCCTCGATCAGAGTTGTTATCATGCAAGACAGTAGATATACTTGTGATATAATTGAAAGTTTTCATCCCATAGCAGTACAGATCAGTTGTCATCAATAACCCGAAAGCTTTTCATGCATATTTTTCCCATTATGATTGTTTCGTCCATTTGTCTTTGACACTCTTTAGGCGAATCTCTTCAGTAAAATAAACAAAACAACGGCATGTCTAGGCGGGACTACAGTAGAAACCCGTAGAATTTTTTATCCATGGCAATGAACATAGTTCATGTAGAGGATATGATTAGTATGGAACCACGTAGTGAAACAATCATAGGTGCAATGCATAATCTCGCTCATGTAGTAAGTCCATAATTAGTATGTTACTTTTGTTATATAACATATGTCAACTAGTTTCCTCTGCATAAAACATGTACGTTCACTGATTGATACAAGTTTGGATAACAGGACACTTGGAAAGTTCGAGATTGTATCTTTTTTCCAACAAAATGGGATCAATCGTTACATTTTGTTACACTATTGAGAACTAGCGAAGCCACAAAAGTGTTCTAAGACAGTATTTTTTGAATGTATTTCATTTATATCTACTTTAGTAGAAATTAACAAGTCTAGCGAATAAATAAAAACGTGTGGTTGAGTTCAGGCTAAAGCTATGGGTACGTACTTATGCACTTCTATGGAAATAGTACAATTACTGGTAACTGTTATCCGAAGGTATAAATACGAAAAACTTGGGTGAATCCTGTCAATTCCACAATATTCATGTATGAATATCATTTTTGTCCAATCTCGTAAAATACGATGAATGACATTATGGTGAAAGTAGTTTCACATTAATCAGAAATGGAAAGGCATACTTATCCTACGGGCAGTTCCATTGAATAACTTGAAGTTGTCAAAGTTAACTGAATTTGGCCAGAGGATTGGCTAAAATGGATCATGTAATATATTTGTCTACAGTCAACCTGAACTAAGCGCTACTTATTCTTTCATAATGGACTGGTCATTCATAATTCTGGCGGAGCTAAGAAGTGAGTTCCGTTATGCGTAGAAAATCGGATAAGTCTCAAAACATTGAAGTATATATCTATAAGACATGACGTAGCATGTTATGTGACACTCTACGCAAATGTTCAGAGTGTCATATGATATTTCGACGCAGCTATTTCACGTGATTTTGGAAGTACAAAATTTGGCCAACAGAAAGTCGTCAACGTTACGTGATTTCCTGTATAATTTCTTCGCTTCGCTCAGTCGGAGACTGCTTAAAAAGCAAAAATCATACAGATTTTTTTTCGTTAACATTAATTATGTGTTACAATAATCTACGTTATTGTCTTGTAAAACTATGGAAACATTATCCCCCCGAAGGGTCTCTCCAGTTCTAGATGGAATCTAGGGACTGAACTGTAAAAGTTTAATAGGGTATGCTACGCAGCATGAAATGCGTTAATATACATATCATGGGTTATAATCAACAATACGAATTTTCAAGCTGTAGGAAAATACAAAAAGTATGCCAAACTACTATCAGTCGGAGATTGCTCAAAGAGCAAAATTATTGTGCTAGCGTGAACAAAAGTTTACATTGGACAAGCATCCAGGTAGATACAATATAAGACTATAAGTACTGTTTTTATTGCAACAAATTATTGTAGTTTATCTTTCTTGGAATTTTCGTTCTTAGGGGTAACTAACAAAACCCGTAAGTAACTGGTATAACAAATGTGCATTAACTAAAGTTCATAGAATAAATAACGTGAAATTTTTTGAATACAGAAACGAATAACCAAAGTTATGAAGAAGTGAATGACTACATTGAGTAACAATCTGATACCTAAAACGAGAAAAACGATCAATGAGTATAGAGTATATGTCCCATAATTATAGTTACAGTTTAGAATAAGCTACTGTGCATATCATATATGGACAAATCCACTTATGTAGTACAACCTATTTGAAAGTGCTCAACTAAGAGACTGTGACCCGTGGGTCACGATATCTTTATTTCATTACAGTTCAAGAATATACTCTGTTGAATAAAAGGCAAACTTATAACTCAATACATCGCTGTCTATTTCTTAACAGGCAGGATGTTTTGTAGTTCGGCGAATATGTTCGCCAGAATTACGTGACTTTGACGACTTTGGTCATTGAAATCTCTGGATGCCATGAAACTAAGCAAACGTAACAATTTTATTCATTCATTACCAGAAAAGTAACGTCATTTAAGAAAGAGACAAACTCTACCACTATATCATTCTCTTTGTGACGTCTACTAAATCCAAAGTTTGCATGAGTGGCATTATATCAAATCCTTCTTTTTGTCCCAACGCATAATACAAACGTAGTATTAGATTCATATAGATCAGAATTTTTTCAAAATATTGTACTCTCGTAACTATTCTTACGATCATACCCATTAGCCAATAAAATAGCAAAACAGGAAATATTGTTCACAATCAGATTCACGTACTGTGAAACCCAGGATGTTCTTGATTTCAACAACAATGCATTTGTCATAGCATGGGTCACCGTTCAGTATTGCATTATCAGTCGGTGACCGCTCGAAGAGCAAAAAATATACCATGTAATACCGGGACAGAAGATGAACATGACAGGTAATAGATATTATCCTTTTGTAATAACATAAAAGAGTATGTATGCAGGCAATAATTACAACATATGGTATGAGGAAGCAGTCGAGTAATTAGCAATCATACTACTAGTTAGATTGTTTGGTCATCAGTTCCCTTTGCGAAATGAACTCCTCTTTTGTCATCCAATAAATATGTAGGACATGGTTACTATTCCTCTTTGTTATCATGTTTATTAGTTTGATTCCACGTGTGTAATAATATACTGTATAAAGTTCATGATAACCAACAGAGCTATTATGCAAAACTAATCGATTGCGTTATACCATCCTAGTGCATTGGTATGTGTTCGGACGTTCCTCTACATGTTAACTCTACGTTTAAGAGATGACTTAAGTGGCAATAATTTTTTATGTGTACGCTTGGAATCCAGGGATTCGCTTAACTTTGTTCACTAATATACTTATTTTACTATGTCATGCAACAGCAGAGTCCATTTTTTCATTTTATTGACGAGGTGACCTAACTATCAGTCGGATACTGCTCGAAGAACAAAATTCGTAATTATTGCATAGAAAAATGTTAACATTGTTCATAAGCAAAGACGCATAGATTTGTGGAATAAAGACGGTTAGCATTTCAGTGAGGAGAACCTATTATCGTCAATGACTGCTACTAGGCATTATTTGTATTACATATGATGGACGTGTAGTTGAATTGGGCGAGGTGCCTGAATCCTTTACTATGATAACACGGTATGAAGTGGACAGAACGTTAGGACGTAGTAACACCATTGCAAGAGTAGTGACAACCTATATGCCCAAATGCATATGAGTGTATGCACAAATATTCTGATGGGTGTTAATGGCATAACACAAAATATTCACTAGATTACTTGCTCAAATTAATTATGAATTCATGAAAATATTGCCACAGGTTCTACCTAACCGTCTTGCCGCTCAACTACGCAATGGTCTTAGGAAATACCTGGAGGGTATTACTTCGTAATGTGTTCCTAAGGTAGATGACTGGTGTAGTGTATAAGTCCAATCTCTGGACTGAAAAAATGGTATCACCTGTCTACTACAACAATTTGTACTCTACAGTAAAGATGCTCTTTCTGCATTTTTTTGCACTAAAGAATTCAGAATCCGTACTAAACCTTTGCTCCTATCTGTTCCTTTGAGGATGTCCTTGCATGTTCTCTGCAAGTTGATGACAGAAGTAAACAACAGCGTTAACAAGTGCAGAACGTCATGTTTTTTCTGATTTTCGGCACCAATGACTCCAGTCAGTTCGTGCAATTTTCCTTGTACCCATGAATAGTAGTTGCTATCATCGAAACCTGATTTCGATAATACTTATTTTGTCTTCGTTCAGGTAACCACTCCTTACTAACCCGCACTAACCAAATCCTGTAGACTGTAGTGCAAATATTCTGGGACATCCGTCTCATCTGTTATGTGTCTAATTATCACGGTCCCATACTGTGGACAAAAGATTCTAGCGTGTGACAGATACTTATTTACTGGAGTGTCCGGGTTCAAACAATACGAACATACTAGTAGGTACTCTGTAGAAAACCTAATAGTTGTTGTGCTACTTGTGCGCAATATCTTGTTATAGTGCCTTTGGTAGTTATTGTATTATTCTATCGGCCTCATGTCCCCTATGGGCACATACGAGACCGAAGAGGAAATTTTAGCAGGAAGAACTAGAACTCGCATAGTGTTTCCTCTCGTAATGTTGTTTCAATTTATTAATTACATCCCTCCCTACCAGCAAACAAGCGGATACATTATCATTTTTTATGATATGATATGTATACAATTTATAAGTGAACAATAGTAATGTTTTGAGCAATCCATATAACTATTGTGTTTTGATAACATTAGTTTTAAGGAGTATAAGATGGTACAGTTATGGAATAGTGCCGGCCAAAAGTAGTCCCGTAATTTTGTCCATGAAGACCAATCATACATGCCTCGGTTTTCTACTTTTGCTCTTTGTAACTAGGATTTGTTATGTCCAGTGCATTTACAAATTCTAAATTAGAAGTGTTTTCAAGTCCACTGATTTGTATATTACCATTTAGGCTGCACTTGCTAGTTTATCTTCAATTAGTGTGGGTTGTATCCCTTGGACTCCAGTCTCGTTATACTACCATAAAGTTGCGGCAGAACTATTTTTTTAAATGTCAGCTGTGACGCTGTCATAGTCTCGATATTGAGGAGTTCGAGTTCCAATAATGTATTTGATATATTTATTTTATGCATACCAGAGTGGGTTCATTTTGGCGTAGCAACACGTGAAAAGGTATGTGAACCGAGTTCACAGTCTCCTCACATGATTATTAATGTTGGCATTTTGTACGCATGTTATGCTCATCCGGTGGCATAAAAGGTATGGATTATAACCCATGGACGGCAATAATAAATCACGAGAGATAGTTCAACGCAGGAGGGTTCTGCACACGCAGCAATATTCTCTTCATTTCTGTAGCCTGTAGAATCTGACATCCTTACCATATTAATGGGCCTCACAAAGGATGGAGTCTTGACAACTACCAACCCTCAGTAAGGTTTTTACACGATAAATAAGTAGATTATGAATACGAAAAAAATTTTGTACGTCAACATCCCCTGTTACGAGATCATTTTTGAATCGATGTTAGTATTTTATTTCTCCATGTTGTCCACACATATCCGTCGCTCACATTATTACCAGTATTGTCAAATTATATTCTTCATCGTAGTTGACTTCATTTTTCATAACACTATCACGTGATTTTCTTTACTAGTCTTCTAAAAAATTTATCCGAAGCTCCACTGTTGTCATTTACACATAAATTTATTTGCGTCTACTGTAGTACCATAGATAATGGGTACCGTTGGGATAGTTGTTACATATTCATCTAACATAATTTCGTCTGCTAACCCACTTCGCTAGATTTTTCGTTGAAGCATAATGTCTCACTTCAAAAATGCATATATTCAGTGGAACTGGGTTCTGCCCAAAAATATAAGTAATTATGCAAACATTATGGATTAGGAATGTGATCATCGCACAAATGGATTTTATTGTTTTCTGTGCAGTCTTTTACACTCAACGAACCTGTGACATAATTTCATGGCAAATATAGGTTAATATAATCTAGACAATGTTGACAAGTGCTAGGAGTGCAAAGGCCGGATTTGAACAAGAATACTTCCTTTAACTGAATAACTTCATTTTGCAAGTTACTGACTTCTTGTTTTAAGCAATTATGGGTCTCTTCGAGAGCATTAAGGTTGATTATAATTTTGGTCTTCTCTTCTTTGTTCTTTGCTCTATGCCGAGTGGCTGCTTTTCTGTTTCTCTCCCTCTGAGACTCTACTTCCATTTTCGTCATAATATTTGTACTTCTAGCTAGTAAAGAAATTATTGTGTTCAATTTCGGAAACGCTAACCAATCTCAGCCAAACTCTACAGTAAAAGAAAGCCGCAAAAAATGGGTTCAATCGTGAGAGATAAGAACAGCATACGTGCTAGGACTTAGGACTAGTGTTCATGGAATGACACAATAGAGCATGTTACTCGAAACAGATTTCATATGGAACATATTTTTTGTAAACAGGAATGAAAATGAATCTTCCAAATGTTTTTGCATGATAGAAGCAAGAAAATAGGACAATGAAACAAATTATACTGTGGTACCGTTGTTTTCACAGGAGAAAGGGGAAAAATAGTAATTTCTCGTTTTCATTATTTTAGTAAAACTGGGCTTTGTCCTGATCGTCTTGCCAAATAACCACGCTTATTAGTCATAGCGTATAACTGGAGAGATTATGTATGAAGTACAGAGAGTATAAAGTAGAGAATAATGTTCCATTTTTACAAGAAATGGACGTATATGAAATACATTGACCATGTCTGCAGAAAAATCCCTAAAGGCGCTATTCAGGAGGAACTTTTAAGAGAAGCGTGTATGATTTTTTGTTTATTATCATCTACAGTAAAATAGACTACAGTAATATTTGTAAGGAGAGTTAAAAAAAGATAAAAAACGTGATTGAACGGCAATACTCTTAGGCAATGGACAGAACAGTGTCTAGTATCATAACTAGATGATAATATCAAGGATTATGTTAAAGAAAACCTTTTATCAAAGGTAGTCATTGATGGCTTAACACTATAATGCAATCCAAATTTGCTCTTTAGAGGAAAAGTGAAAATGCTATAAGGGGCTGCAAAGAAACGGGTTACCAAAAAAACTCGGGTAACCTTCGTTACCAACACAGGTACATACAATCATAGTCATGTGAAATAGTTGTTTTCCTAAAGAACTGCCCGCTGTGAAAATCTCAATCGTTTTGACTTATAATACATACATGACCATGTAATTCCGTGTAATAGAGAGTCGCACAATATTTGCCATTGTGTGGTCACTAGTAAGGATATATTCTCTGTAGTGTTTTTTTGGCAGATTAGTTGTTTTCGGATCATTGTCCCACTAACAATGATGAGAAAATGTTATAAGTATTCGTACTCCTTGCTACCTAGCGTTGCCGTTTGGTAATGATGTTACCTACCATGCTTTTAATAACAATGCTGACAGAGGTTTCAGTTATTTAGCAACTATATGTTCTTGTGCATTATATAATCATGAAATAATTTTATTCACAGAATTTTATTCACATAATTTTATCATGTGACTTTTATCAAAATTGCGCCCTTTGGCTAGTCTCTGACTGAATTTTCATCACGTGACTTTAAGCAACTTCGGTCATTGAAATTTTAGCAGAAGGAAAAAAGACACATACGTTATTTCCCTTTTACTAAATAATGAACTGACTATGTTATTTGATGATAACAGTATCGCCAGTATGAGAAACTCTGGGCTTTATCACTTAAATGGAAAAATGGAATTATGCCAATAAATTGTGCAGTGCCAATGTGGACCTGAAATGATAAAAGAAGTCTGCGAATTCGTTATTCTAGGAAATGATGCGATAAAGGTTACTTATTTTTAACAAGAATAAAATATTACGGGTCTCAAAAGTCGAAATACAATGCTATTGTATCCTACGGTGCAAAGGCGTCTGCTATGAAGCTTTTGTGTATATAGATTATACACTATAATAATTTTATTAGTGAAAATTCTGTGAGCTATACCTGGGTATTTTTGCGAGCAACAGCAGAATGAATTTTTTTGTCAATAGTAATACATGAGTAAATAAGGTCTTGATAGTCAATCTAGTAGTTAGCTGTTATTGTTTATTTGTTGATATTTTGTAATATACAGTGGTGATCAGTCCTCCATTATTTTCCTCGTTCCTCGAAAAATCACTTCCCTTGGAAGGTTCATACATGGACTGGAGATTAATTGGTATACAATTGGTCTATTAATCCTCTACGGTAAGAAATTTGTGAATCTGGATAGTACGAAGTAGAGGAGGTTCTAGGAACCTAGGTTTATAGGCTCGAAGAGCAAAATTATTTGGAATGACAAATATAAGAAAATGGTCATATTAGACAGTTTTTAATGCGTTTTTTATGTATTTTGCCTCTTTCTTTTTCCAAAAAATTATGTTCACCACTGTACTACCTGTAATACAATCGTTACTATATGACCCTGAAGTATATTGTAAGATTTTCCCATCAAAGGTATTAACATGTTATTTACACTCATTATTACAGTATTTCAGAAAGCCATGCCAACAAACATATACTTCATAGTTACAAAATCGTAAACAACATTGCAGAAAATACGTAAACATTATTAAACGTCATTACCAAAAGATATGCGAACATTGCTACTAAAGATAATACATTGAAACAAATCGTCAGTAACACAGTACAAAGTATCGACAACTGTTAGCAACGCAATCACAAAAAATTATTCTATGCTTTTTAGTCCTGGTTAAAGACATTGATAATCATGTCATTAATTCCAAAATGTTCGTGTGTGTCATAGTTGAACGGCACAAGACAGGAAGTAACACTCATTTTTTGTGGATGGTGTTACTTGTAACCGAAAATATAAAGAACATAGCTAATGACAATTTTTATGAACATTTCTTGAATGACAGTTACCAAAAGTTAGTATTTGTCACGAACGGCCAATAACAAAATAAAGGTTAATCGATTAGTTATATTCTTATTCCTTTTATAATCGAAGTTTCATCACATGTCACCACGCAAACACAACATTCACAAAGAAATGCAATAATAGAGCTCCAAACAGGTCAGCCAAATTCAGGTAACCTGACCTGACCTGACCTGAAATTCAGGTCAGGTATGAGATTTTTAAAAAAAATTCAGGTCAGATATGAAGATTGACCTGACCTGATTGACCTGATGACCTGAAACTATTGATTCTACTATATAATAAAAGTGAATTGCAGTATTGAGATTCACTTTTTTATATTGATTTTATATAATAAAAGTGAGTTGCAGNAACAGGTCAGCCAAATTCAGGTAACCTGACCTGACCTGACCTGAAATTCAGGTCAGGTATGAGATTTTTAAAAAAAATTCAGGTCAGATATGAAGATTGACCTGACCTGATTGACCTGTTGACCTGAAACTATTGATTCTACTATATAATAAAAGTGAATTGCAGTATTGGGATTCACTTTTTTATATGATTTTAATATAAAAATGTTGAATCGCAATATTTCGAGAAAAAATGTTGCGAAAACGTTTTTTCATAATATTATATTAAAAAAATGTTTCGTAACATTTTTTTTTGATATTTCAATAATAACGTTGCGAAAACATTTAAAAAAAACGTTTTGCAATATTTTTTTCAATATTTTAATAAAAAACGTTGCAAAAACGTTTTTTTTCATAATATTATATTAAAAAAAAGGTTTGTACTGTTTTTTTTCAATACTTTAATAAAAATAGTCCTGAAATTTTTCAGGTTTCAGGTCAGGTCAGGTCAAACAGACAACCTGATATAACCTGACCTGACCTGACCTGAAAAAAAATTTCAGGTCAGGTTTATCAATTAACCTGACCTGACCTGACCCATTCAGAGCTCTATGCAATAACAATCGCATTATATTTGAACATGCTAGTTGTGCAGGATCTATTATAACTTCATTCATGAAAAGTAATATGTTCCGCATCCTCTTCATATGTACGGAAGAAGTTTTAATGCATACGACAATATGTGAAAAGCTGTCATTCGACTATATTCAAATATTTTCTCAACAACACATATCTACTTATTGGTACGAAGTAGAATCTAGGGTTACGTTCCCGTTATGGTAAAAACATTAGTGGATTTTAAAAGACTAACTGTTGTGATTCAAAAATGGTAACAGAAATGTGTCAATCTGAACAATTTTCATTTCTGTAGTCGGATTCACCAATGCAATAGGTTAGAATGCTAAGAATAATGTCACCAAAAGACAAATATAATAATGTGATATATGGTGGGAAAACCTATCCGTCTGATATTAATTACATCATACAAATACGTAGTTGCAAAGAAATAGTTTTTGTTTCTTTGTGAAGAGGTAGTATGTGAGTAGGGCACATATTTAGTTAACGTTGCAGAAAGCAGCATATTCAACAATTTCAACGCCCATATATGAATAGTCTCAGAAAACACAGAGTAACAGCACATCTTGCGGCGATTGATGGCATGCGTATGGCGGTACTGGTTTTTTTTGTGAACTCAGTTCACAGTCTCTCACGTAACACATTATTTTACAAATAGATGACCGGAGTCATGTTTTCTTGATTTACATGTACATTCCTATTTTTGGACTATCATTAGCGGTTAACACAAATTCTTGACTTCTTGTAATCCAATCCAATGCTGGATTACGAAAAAACATAGGCATGCTGTTATATTCCTACATCAAGGTCCCATTAATAATGCTCAGAGAAATATCCAGAGCTCTGTTAATGTCTCTGTCCATTGCAGTTAATCCCAACGTTTCTGTCTTGACTATTAAGTGTTGACGAAAATGGAATGAGTACAGGGAGGACCTCAGCTTAACTAGATTATTTGTTCCTAATCCCTACTTCTGGCATGCGATGTACATTAGTCAGTAATTCTATCTACAATATTACTAATACGAACCTCGTTAATTTTCCAAGTTACGTATAACTTCTGCAGCATATTAATACTTTACAGAAACTTTAAGTTTTCAAGTGATATCATTTCGATATCATTTCAATATCATTTCAATATCGATTTAATATCGATACGATATCGAAATAAAGTATTATCACTTCGATATCATTTTGATATTAAATTGATATTGAAATGATATCAAAATGATAATAGAAATGATATTGAAACAACATCTTTAAGTTTAATTTAAAGATATCATTTCGATATCATTTTAATTATCATTTCGATATCATTTCGACATCGAATTAATATCGAAATGATATCGAAGTGATAATACTTTATTTTGATATCATATCGATATTAAATTGATATTGAAATGATATTGAAATGATATTGAAATGATATCGTTAAAATAAACTTAACGATATCGATTCTATATTGATTAAAAATGGTAAGTTTCTGTAAAGTAATTTCATTGTTCGTACAAGTTTTCTAGCGAAGTTAGGTAATAGAGTTATGAGCATTCGTGATGAGATGTAAGAATTTACAAATGCGGGGAAAATAAATTCTCATTTTTTATTGTTCACAGAACCGATTCACAGCGATTAGTATATTACCGTTGTAATACAAGTATTGTCTTTTGTGAGCCAGCTATCGTTACCGTAACATTGACAACTTAATAAATTCTGCTGTCATGATCACAACTATTTACGCAGAAAATAAATCCAAACTTGAATAGAGGGTGTCTCTTGGAAAAAATTGAACCAGAAATTTGGTACCAAAGATCATGTGGAACAGCTGCGCTTACATTTATTTTCTACGCATGTAGTCAAACTAAGGAATATGATACATGAGTGAGATTGGAGGTAAAATACACATCATCAAAATGATGCTTTCGTATGGCAGGGTATTCTGCTGTGACTACTGCGTCCATAGACTGTAAATACATTAATTTTAACATACAAGTAATTTTGCTGTGATATGACAAGAGACTAACACTATCTCAAAAATGTCTATTACGTCTATGAACCACATGACTTATCTCCCATTTCCAATAAGTAGGATTTTATAGTATGACCCGTAGTTAGTAAAACTTCCAAAACAACACCATCTGAGATAAGAAATGTGTGCGCACGTGTATGAGTATACATATAAGTATTCTCCAAGTGCTCTCTTGCTTCTAGCAAAATGATTGCTTGTAATCATTTTCATATGAATAACATTGGTAATCTATAGTATTTGCATGGGAATTCTTGAAATATAATACCAAGGTATAGATAGATAATGCTATCTCATTTTTCTTTTTGTAATTCTATTCACACTGTGGGACCAAGTAAAGTGGCACATAAAAACTTGTCACATTGGTAACATATATACCTGCATTGTTTCTAGGGGTAATCAAGATATTAACTTCTATCCTTTTTTTAGATCATAGCTATGAAGAAATGCATCTCCCAAAAACTCTCATAAGCATAAAACCAAATGTGATAGCTAAGAGGAAATACGTTGACTGTGTGTAAAAAATTTGAATCCCAAAGAGATGAGTTTCACAAAATTGCTTTGTAATACTCTCCACTTATCGCTTAAACAAAAAATATACAATGGAGTTATACATGCCACCCAAATTATTTTGGACTGCCGTAATTATAAGTAAAATCCCAAATTCAATTATGGCATCCCAAATTATTTTGGCACTTTACATAGTAAATTATATATAAACCGAATGAATTATGGCATCCCAAATTATAATTATGGCATCCCAAAATAATTTGGGCAGCATGTATAAATGGAGTCTGTGATTCTGACAGTATTTTGTTGAACTATTGTTACCATTTCATGTCCTTTCAACTTTACATTTTTGTAATTTCTATTGTATTGATCACAAGGAAACATGGCAGTGATTCCACTATTCTTCAAGTCGCCATTGACAAATAATAACTGTACATTGCTATTAAATAATGATTGACCATATAACCACTAGTTACGGCATTTATGCCTAGTCTTAGATAGCTCACGCAAAATGTTATCAAAAAAGGGTTTATGACGACATGACAATATAAACACACTCAGTAGTTTCTGACAAATGATAGTTGATGATAATCGATAACAAAAATTACATGTTTTATCATCATCGCAATAATAACCAGTAACAACAAACAAATTTTACTGTTAAAAGGAAATCCGTTGACCATGGTAGAAAAATCTGATTCTGAAAAACACAAACTACTATGAGGAGACTGTCGTGATTTTTCAAGGAACAAGAAAAATAATGAGGGAAATTCCTGAAGGAGTTCTACTTTTACTAATGGTGAACTAGGCTCCGCCCAAAAAATGCTCTCTACTGTACATGTTGTAGCGAGATATTAAAGGTATTTGATATAAAATGTATTTATATGATTTAGTGGAACTGGCTAAAGCCACTCATCTCTCCATACATATCACTGGTTGAAATAGTCCAAATCGGCTAGAAATCGGATGTCCGATTTTAGGCCGAATTTGGTGATAAAGATGGCCGATTTATTAATTTAGGTAAAGTTCTGATTGGCAGGCCGATCGATGCCGATCAGAATATCCAAATTGTATCTGAATTGCTTAGTATTTTTGATCCGAATTGTTTAAAAAAATATATTCATAAATTTACCAAATTGCAGTGAATTTATTCTGAATTATGATAAATTTTAATAAATTGTGATAAATTTTAATCTGAATTGCAGTAAATTTTAATCTGAATTGCAGTAAATTTTAATCTGAATTGCAGTAAATTTTAATCTGAATTGCAGTAAATTTTATTCTGAATTGCAGTAAATTTTATTC